ACACTAATCTTGTCAACCTCATCAGTATAAACTCATCACAGTGATAGAATTTACAACACGAGGAGATCACATATAATCTCATCATAGTGGTAGAGTTTACAACACATAAGGAAATCACATCAGATAACACAATCATACAATACTAGGAATCATGACCTAGCCAAGTTGCTACACACGTTTTTTGGGGACACAATTCAATCCATGACAAGGAGGAAGAATCCAGCGCAGCTCAGATAGCGGAGGCTTGAAGCCAAGGAAGACCAGGGCAAAGCCCAAGAGGGGCTGGTGGGAAGTCCACATGAGGGGCCTGTCAGGCAGAGCACCTCCTTCCCCATCTCCCAAGCTAGGCAACTGCTAGGCATCTGCCCAGCCTGGAGGTGAAGGTTTCCTCTCTGGAGAGGAAGAGCCAGATTCAGGATCCCAGGACATGTCTGAGCCATGGACGCAGCTGAGAAGGCTCCCTGGAAAGAGGGGTTAGCCAAAGTCTAGGTCCCTGGGTGGCAAAAATGGTTAACATGCTCAGCAACTAACCAAAAGGTTGGCAGTTCAAATCCACCCAGAGAAGCCTCAGAAGAAAGGCCTGGGTCACAGCCACTGAAAACCCTATGGAGCAGTTCACTGACACACATGGGGTTGCCATGAGTAGAACTTACTCAACAGCAACTGTTTTTCGGTCTTCCCCCACACTTTCTGCACAATTTTTCTATAAACCCAAATGGCTATAAATATTAAAGTCTATGAATTACCCATGTAGAAACTGTTGATTTGGTGTTTTCTTAAGCATATTTTTGCCACAATTAAAAGCCTGTTTTTTAAAAAATGGAAAAAATAAAAAAGGCCTCCTTCACACTGGGCAAGTCCCAGTTGCAGACCAGGAAACCCGTCTTGCTGAGTCTCCCCCAACCCCCTCCAGGCCCTCTGGTACAACTGGTGGGTGGCAGGTGTGGACAGAACTCCAGACTCCGGCACAAACTGGGTCAGTGGCTTTATTACTCTGTGGATGCTGGTGATGATGGTCTCCAACTCACTCACCCAGCAGGCGCATCTGTCCATTCCATGCCTTGCTAGGTTGCAAAGAGGAGACAGAGGGTCCCTCCCGCCAAGTCCCTGTCCATCTGGTCAGATCATCACACCCTGCCCTCCCCCACCCCGCACTCTGCTCTGGGTAGGGCTCCATGTGACAAGATCCAACCCCTTCTCTTCAGCCTCCTCTTGGTCAAGGGGTGCCCAGCCCATGGCTCCTTGCTAACCTACTCTTCAAGGCCCCTGGCACATGGCCCCTGAGGGTCTCCAGGGCTTCATCTGTTCCGACATCCCCGAGTGGGGCAGGGAAAGGGGGAGAGGGAAGCTGGGCCATGGAAAGAGGGACCGTCTGGAGGCACCCGTTACAGGGTGGGAGAGAGGCAGGAATCAGGAAGGGACGAAATGGGAAAGCTGAATGGCGAGAACAGAGCACCAAGAGATTCAGACCTTGGAGGAGATGGTAGCAGAGAGGCGCAAACGGAGAGGAATGCCTGGCGAAAACTACAGCCATGGGTGATGGCCCATGGGCAGCACCAGGACAATGAGAACAGTGTGGAAGCCCACTAGCCCAGGGGCCAAACAGGGAAAGGTGCCCCGGTGTCGGTGCCGGGTGTAGCCGTGGAGGTGTTGACCGCACGCCCGTGGATCCGCTGGTGGCGCAGCACGTGCTCGCGGCGCCCAAAGCCCTTGCCGCACTGCCAGCAGGCAAAGGGCCGCGCGCCAGAGTGCGTCTTGCGGTGGCGCACCAGGTGCTCGCGCCAGTAGAAGGTCTTCCCGCACTCGCAGCAGGCGTGCGGGCGCTCGCGGGCCGGCAGTGCGCGCAGTGCCAAGCCTGGGCTGCCAGGGTGCGTGCCACGGTGGCGCCGCAGGTGCTCCTTGCGTCGAAAGGCCTTGCCGCACTCGGGACACGCATGCGGCTTTTCCGCAGAATGGCTCTGCCTGTGGCGTAGCAGGTGCGCGGGGTTCGTGGCCGTCTTGCCGCACTCTGGGCAGGACGAGGAGCCCGGGACCGCCAGGAAGCTGGGTGCCTGCGTGACCACCGGGGGTCTGCCAGGCTCCTGCTTGTATAGCCGGGCGGCCTGCACATCCCCTGTCCCAGGCACCTCGGGTCCCGGCGCCGTGTCTCCTGCTGGGCAAAGGCACAGAGTCAGATGGGGCACCTCTGGGCAGGCTCAGGTTGGGCAGGGGCAGGTCAGGGAATGCAGCCATCCCAGTTAGGAAGAAAATCCAGATGATGCCAGGGACAGGTGGGAGTGTTTAAAGCCAGTATGATGTAGGGGTAGGATGGTTGGTTTGTAGGCTCCACATGGGCAGGGATTGTGGGCCTCCTGTTCATCCCTGCAACCCCTGTACCTAACTGTGCCGGCACACAGTAAATGACCAATAGTGGGTGGGTGGATGGATGCATTACCTATAGTGGGGAAGTGGGCAGACAGATGAATGGAAGTGCAGACTGATGTATGAATGGATGGGTGGGTAGGCAGAAGCGGTATGTGGATAGGCTAGATCAGCAGGAAGGTAGAGTAATGGATGAATGACATGTAGATGGATGAATCGATGTGGGGGTGGGTGGGCTGCAGGGTTAGGTGGATACATATAAGTGGGTATCTGGATAGAAACATGGGCAGGTGGGTAGGTGGGATGGGCAGATGAATAGATGGGTGGGCGGGCAGAGTGATGGATGAATAGCTAGATGGATGGGTGGGTGTGTGGATGGGTGAAGGGGGTAAGTGGGAAGATGATTTGACCAGCAGGAAGGTAGAGCGATGGATCAATGGCAGGTTGATGGATGGATGGATGGAGGGGATAAGTGGGTAGATGATTAGACTGGCATGGAGGTAGAGTGATGGATGGATGTCAGGTGGATGGATGGGTTGGTGGTATGATGTACAAGCGGGTGGGCAGGAGTCTCAGTTGATAACTGGGAAGAAACATGGGTGGATGGGTAGGAAGGATGGACAGATGAATAGATGGGTGGGATGGTAGAGTAATGGATGAATGGAGGGATGGATGGATGGGTGGGTGGAAGGATGGATGGACGGACGGACTGATGTGTTGGTGGTGATGTAGGAGTGGGTGGGCAGGTGTCTGAGTACGTATCTAGGTAGACACGTAGGTGGGTGGGTGGCTAGGTGCAATGGACAGATGAATAGATTGATGGGAAGGCAGAGTGATAAATTAATGACAGGTAGACGGATGGATCGGTGAGTGGATGGATGGGTTGGCGGTATGATGTATGAGGGGCAAGCAGGTGTCTGAGTGGGTATCTGGACAGAGACATGGGTGGATAAGTGCAATGGACAGATGAACCACCTATTTCCTTTTTCCACTAGTTTTCAAACTGCCCCATGGAAATCCAGGGAGGTAACCTTTGTTTTACCTGTTTCACATCAAGAACTTCTGCTCATAGTGTAATCTGCGAAGCAGGTTCACAGTACAACCAGGGTTTGAACTGCCTCCCATCCACACACACACCCTTACTGACCCTCAGGTCTGAAGCAGTGGACATCCTGGCCTTCAATGGGCTTTCTGAGGTGGGGAGGTGCCGCAGTGGATGGAAACATACTGCGGTGGAAGCACCTCCTTCCCCTGGTCCTGGCCTTGACTTGCTGTGTGACCCCAAGCGAGCTGCCTGAACTCTCTGAGCCTCAGTTTCTGCCTATGACACGCGCCTCCAGAAAGCAGGGTAGGCCCTTTGGCGGCCAAGAGATGTAAAACAACATCTTTGTTTGGCCTGCAACAAGTATTTTTAAAAATGTGAAAAATATTTTAAAATCAGGCAATTTCACACTTTAAAAAATCCACATTTGTGGCTTTTCTTAAGGAAAAATAGTAGATGTACTGGGCTCACATTCTCTCATGACAACCTAGGCTGGAGGAGAGTGGGGGCTGCCTCCTTTGTGCCCTCCTGTTTGCCACTTCACATCCAGTCCCCTCTCCCTGACCAGCCAAGTTCCCGCCAAGTACCTGAATTTGAGATCTTTGGTCTAAAACTCCTTCAGCTCCGGCCTGTTTGCTAGATGCCGACAAGTCGATTCTGACTCATAGCGACCCCGTGTGACAGAGTAGAACTGCACCACAGGGTTTTCTAGGCTGTAAACTTTGCAGAGCAGAGCACCAGGTCTTTCTCTCGTGTAGCCACTGGGTGGGTTCGAACCACCAACCTTTCAGTTAGCAGCTGAGTGCTTAACAGTTGCTCCACCAGGGCTCCTTTCTGGACTAACTCTTGATGAGTTTCCAAGGGCTCATCACAGGGACTGCTGCTGTTACCTAGTCACCCTCCTCTCAGCATCCTTGCTTTCAAAGCCCCAACCTGGTTACTCAGATGCATACATCTGTGATATATACACATACTTCTGTACTGACTTTACAATACGTCCACCAATTTTTAGATACTCCTCCTTTCAAGAGGTGGAACTTAACTACACTTTCCATGAACGTGAGCTGGACGTACTGAATCACATCTAAGGAATAGAGTATTGCAGAAGTGACAGTCAGTGTCAACAAAAGGCATTGCAAAACAGTCAACAATTACTTTAAAACAAAGATGAGAATGTAAGGGGGCAGAGAAATAATTAATGGAAATGGAACAACCAGAATGGAAATAATGAGAATGTTCATACATTGTGAAGAATGTTACCAATGTCACTGAATAATTTGTGTAGAAATTGTTGAATGGGAACCTAAACTGCTGTGTAAACCTTCACTGAAAATACAATAAAGTATTATTTGAAGGAAAAAAAAGAAAGAAAGAAAAGCATTGCAGCTTCACCTTGCTCTCCTGGATCACGTCCTCTGGGGGAAGCCAGCGGCCATGTTGTGAGGACACTCAAGCAGCCTTGAGGCCTCCCACCAAAAGCTTGATGGTCATGCAAATGAGCCACTTTGGAAGCAAACCCTCTAGCCCCAGTCTAGTCCTAAGGTGATGATAGCCTTGGCCGACATCTTGACTGCAAACTAATGAACAACCCCAAGCCAGATTTATCCAGCTAAGGTGCTCCCAAACTCCTGACCCACAGAAACTTTGAGAGATAATAAATGTTTATTATTTTAAGATCCTAAATTTTGGGTTAAATCCAGCAATAGATAAAATAATACTCTATCCACAACCACACCACCCCCCTACCAGTCTCACAGCCTCTGTATCAATAAACCAAGAAAGAAAAAAAAAGCAAACCCACTGCCATCAAGTTGATTCTGTCATAACTGCCCCATAAGGTTTCCAAGGCTGTAATCTTTACAAAGGCAGACTGCCGCATCTTTTTCCAATGGAACAACTGGTAGGTTCAAACCGCCAACCTTACAGCCAGCAGCTGAGCACTTAACCACTGTGCCACCAGGGCTCCTTTCTGTATCAATTGGCATAATAAAAATAAGAAAGAACTGGATGGTGCCTGGTTACCATTAGTGAACATTTTGATACAAGATTCTATAGAAGAATCCTGATCAAAAGTGGTAAAATGCAGAATAGAATTTGAAATTCTCATGGAATCAGACTATCTGGAGCTAGTGAGGCTGGATGAATCTCTGAAATTATTGCCTGAGATTTTTAAACTTTAAAGCAAAAAATCCCCTGAATTTTCCTTTAAACCAAACAATTGTTTAGCTTAGTTCATTAAGAATGTCTGCCTTGACTCACTCCATCTGGAGTAAGGGAGAATGAAGAAAACCAACAAGGGAAAGATTAGTCCAAATGACTAATGGACCACAACTACCACAGCCTCCACCAGACTGAGTCTAGCACAATTAGACGGTGCCCGGCTACCACCACTGACTGCTCTGACAGGGATCACAATAGAGGGTCCTGGACAGAGCTGGAGAAAAATGTAGAACAAAATTCTAACTCACACACAAAAAAAAAAAAAGATCAGACTTACTGGTCGGACAGAGACTGGAGAAACCCAAGAGCATGGCCCCCAGACACTCTTATAGCTCCATAATGAAGTCACTCCTGAGGTTCACCCTTCAGCCAAAGATTAGACAGGCCCATAAAACAAAACAAGACTAAATGGGCACACCAGCCCAGGGGCAAGGACGAGAAGGCAGGAGGGGACAGGAAAGCTGGTAATGGGGAACCTAAGGTCAAGAAGGGGAAAGTATTGATACGTCATGGGGTTGGCAACCAGTGTCACAAAACAATACGTGTATTACTTGTTTAATGAGAAACTAGTTTGCTCTGTAAACCATCTAAAGTACAATAAAGAAAAAAAAGAACGTCTGCCTTGAGCACTATGTTCTTTTAAAGATCTATCTGTGTGGGATCAAACCAACAACAGCAACTCCAAAGGTTAGATAGGAAACTTAGAAGCCAGTGAATTTATGTTAATGGCGGAGGAACAATTCCGAAAAAGGAGGGTGAGAATGGTCGCACAACTCAAAGAATGTAACCAATGTCACTGAATTATACATGTACAAACTGCTGAATTGGTATATGTTCTTAACAACAAAAAATAAATAAAGTCAGTAACATCTGCTGATGTCTTGTTACGTGCCTGGTACCTCGGAAGCCAGCTCAGCTTCCTCCTCTCCTGCCTGAGGAACTGCACCTAGTCTCCGGGCCTTTGGATTCCACACCGGCTACCAGAATAATCTTCTGCCTCTGGTGGGCATCTTTGGTTTTTGCTGTTCATTGTCTGCCCCCGTCTTTTTTTTAAATACATTTCTGGGTCAGTAGTCAGTTACTGTCTAGTCTATTCCAACTCATGGCGACCCCATGTGTGCAGAGTAGAACTACTCTGTAGGGTTTTCAAGGCTGTGACCTTTTGGAAGCAGATCACCAGGCCTTTCTTCCAAGGTGCCTCTGGGTCGGTTCACACTGCCAACCTTTTTTCAATTGGTAGTTGAGTGTTTAACCGTTTGCATCACCCTGGGGAGTTATTTTCAATAAAATGTATCAATTATAACACTTAGAACTCAATTATTACACTTCAGCTAAATTACTTATTGTGATCTTACCATTTAAAGCACACTTCAAAACCACAAGTGAACTATCATAAAAAGATTTCCTTTTTTATTTTCTTTTTTTTTAAAACTAATAATATTTCCCCTGCCTTTTAATGAGGGCAACCTGATTTCCTCTTCCTCACCTTAGTTCGCGTAGGTTGAATGGAACCAACCCCATCTCCAGCTCCCGGGGTGGGCTGTGTGCCAAGCCCAGCCAAGCAGAGTGCCGCAGCCCCAGCCAACAGTGACTGGGTCGGGAGTAGCATGTGAGCATGTGACCCGTTCAGAGTCAATGAGGTGCAGCCCTGGGACCTCCGTGTGGCGGCAGGAGGCTGGATGATAGCTGAGTATTGGAGTGCAGAGGCTCTGGGGTCAGACTACCCAGTTTAGATCCTGGCTCTGCTCACATTTGATCGTGGGCAGGTTGTTAACTTGTCTGTGGCTCAGTTTCTCCAACTACAACATGGAGACAATGCTATATATCTCAAACGGCTGCTGTGCTCAACAAGCCAGTAGAAGGGCACCTGGCACATATCGATTGCTGATACTCACGGTGCATTCACTGCCCAGCAGCTCAGCTGCTGTCCTAAGTATGACCCTGATGCTGTGAGCACCTCAAGGGCAGGCATGTCTCATCTCCAGTCCTGGTGCCCAGTGTGGGGCCTGACACACAGCAGGCGCAATGAGATGTTCATGGAGCAGATGAATGGCAGGTTAAGAAGTGACCTCCCCCTAGGGCTGGGGATGGGGGAGCCCCGGACACTGGGGAGAATGAGGACAGTGTGAGACAGGGTACCAGCCGCTCACCTACGGGAATCATCCCACTACCTTCTTTCCCCATGCAAAGCCCGGAGCCTTCCGTCACATCCTGAGGTGCCCTCGTCTCTGATGACCGATCTGGGGAGTTCGTGGGTCCCTGGAATGAGACAGACACATTCTGAATTGAGAAACCTGAGCAGCAGCCACTATTTTTCTTCCCCTCTCCCCTGACCACCTTTAAGCAATCACCAAATCCTACAGACTGCCTCCAGAGCCCTGTAATCTGTCCACTTCTCATGCCACCAGAGCCACCAACCAGACTAGGCCACTGCCAGCTCTCCCTCCATGACCACAGCAGTCCCCTGATGGATTTATCTTGCCCTACTCAGCCCCAAAACAAGAGCCTTGGTTGCGCAGTGGTTAAGCACTCAGCTACTAACCGAAAGGTCAGCAGTTTGAACCCACCAGCAGCTCTGCAGGAGAAAGATGTGGCAGTCTGCTTCTGTAAAAATTTACAGCCTTGGAAATCTTATGAGGCATTTCTACTCTGTCCTATAATGTCGCTATGAGTCAGAATCAACTTCATGGCAATGGGTGTTTTTTTTTGGACCCAGCCCCACAAGGTCCTTTGGTGGTGCAAATGGTTAAGAACTACTAATCGAAAGGTTGGCAGTCAAACCCACCCAGAGGCACCCTGGAATAAAGCCCTGGCGATCTGCTTCTGAAAGGTCACAGCCTTTGAAAACCCTGTGGATCACAGTTCTACTCTGACACACGAGATTGTCATGACTCAGAATCGACTTGACAGCAACTGACAACAACAACAAAAAGGTTGGCAGTCTGAATTCATTCAGCATCCAGTGGAAGAAAGACCTGCTGATCTACTTCCATAAGATTACAGCCATTGAAAATCCTATGGAGCGCAGCTCTACTCGGACACACACGAGGTTGCTATGAGTTGGAACTGACTCAAGGGCAACTGGTTTGGGTTTTTGTTGTTGTTGTTGTTGTTGTTGTTACCCAGCCCCACACCCCAAACCACTGTGCACCTCAGATCTACAACTCTGAGCTCGCTGGAGCTGAACTTGGGTGACATGGTAGGGGTGGCAGGTGTTGAATGAACCCAGACACTGGACTGAAGAAGGATGCACCCAGGCCTGCTCCAAAGCGAAAGCCAAGAGGTTGTTTCTTACTTTTTTATGGTATGTGTAGGGCTCGGAATTCACTCTGTGATAAGTGATACTGGTAACTACAACATAGACTCCGTGGGGGCAGGGGCCTTGACTTTACAGTTTACCGATGAGTCCCAGGTGCTTAGAATAATAGTGCCTGGTACATGGTAAGGGAGCCCTGCTGGCACAGTAGTGAAGTGCTTGGCTGCTAATGGAAAGGTCAGCGATTTAAACCCACTAGTCGCTCCACAGGAAACTCTATGGAGCAGTTCTACTCTGTCCCATACGGTAGCTATGGGTCAGAATCACCTCAATGGTAACAGAGTTTCATGGTTACATATTAAGTGCTCAATAAATAATTGTTATGGAACACATGTAAAACCTTCCCTAGGCCTCTTCTTGTCCTGCCTTGAAATATAAGGCTTGACAAGTGCAGGGCAGGGCACCGTCTCCTTCTTCACCTCTATTTAGGGGGAATCTGATCTGTTTTGCAGGTAAAGGAAGGAGGCCTAGAGAGATCAAATGACTGGACTATAGGTTATCAGCATGCAGCCTGAGAGGCACAATAGCCAAAGGGGATCATCTGAGAGCACTGGAGGCAGGGCACATGCCAGCCTAGGGAACTCAAAGAAAAGTTGATGGGTTGGTAGGTGAGCAGGGTGGTGGGAGAGGCAGGCCCAGCCATCACTTGGTTAGCACAACAGGAAATGCCACGCCAGGCTGTGCCTCAGAGGTCAGAATTCCAGAGGAAATCCTGGAGCTTCACAGGCAATGAGAAGTGCAGGGAAAAAGCAAAGGCTAGGAGCCCTGGTGGCACAACAGTTAAACGTTCAGCTGGTAAGCAAAAGATCGGCAGTTTGAGCCCACTCAGCAGTCCCGCTGCAGAAAAGACCTGGTGATCTGCTCTCATAAAGATTACAGCCTAGGATACCCTATGGGACAATTCTACTCCATCCTATAGGGTTGCTATAGGGTTGCTACCAGTCCAATAGACTCAACGGCATACAACAAATTGTTAAGTCAGGAGCCCTGGTGATGCAACAGTTACGTACTCGGCTGCTAACCAAAAGGCTGGTGGTTCGAACCCACCCAGCAGCTCCAGAGGAGAAAGACCTGGCAATCTGCTTCCATAAAGATTACATCATAGTTCTACTCTGTCACACGGGGTCACTACGAGTCAAAATTGACTCGATGCCACTCAACAACAAACTGTTAAGTGTGAAGCCACTGTGATGCAACAGTTAAGTGCTCGGCTGCTAATTGAAAGGTTGGTGGTTCAAACCCACCCAGCAGCTTCACAGGAGAAAGACCTGGCGATCTGCTCCCATAAAGATTACAGCCAAGAAAACCATATAGGGCCGTTCTACTGTCACATGGGGTCGCAATGAGTCAGAATCGACTTAATGGCACCCAACAACAACTCTTAAGTGTAAGAGCAGAAATGAGTGAAAAAGCAAAGTTACGTTGATCAACAAAGCCAAAAATGTATTCTTTGAAGAGAATGATAAAATAGTACAAACTTTTAGCAAGTGGATTAGGAATAAAATGAGACAGCACAAATAAACACTAACAGTGAAAACAAGCACAGCCCTGGGGACCAAGTAGATTTAAAAACTGTTGAGAAAACCAAGCACAATGCACAAATTTGGAAATTTAGATGAAATAGACAGTTTTCTGTTGTTGTTGCGTGCTGTCAAGTCGACTCCAACTCATAGTGACCCCATGTGACAGTAGAACTGCCCCATAAGGTTTTCTGGGCTATAATCTTTACAGGAGCAGATCACCGGGTCTTTCTCCAGAGAGCAGCTGGTTGGGTTCAAACCATCAACCTTCCGGTTAGCAGCCAAGCACTTAACCATTGCACCCCTAGGGCTCCTTGACAGTTTTCTTGGGAACTATAAATCACCAAAATCTGCTCAAGAGGCCAGTAACCAGAGAAATAAAAGCCCTGAATTAGGACCTCTAGTCTCCTACACTGTGAGAAAATAAATTCCTGTTGTGGTATTTCTGTTATAGCAACATTAGATAACTAAGATACTATCCTATGGAGAGATCCATGTGGCAAGGAATTGAGGCCTCCTATGAGCGATGGGAGTGAGCCATCTTGACAGTGGACCTTTCAGCTCCAGTAGAGAGCCCAGGCTGATGTCTTACCTGCAACCTTATGGGAAACTCAGAGTCAAACCACCCACCCATGAGACTGGCCTACAACTCTCTTTTCTTGAGCTGTCCTTCTCTGGGTAGGTTACTAGAGGGGATAGCAGGCTTGTACAATGAGCTGGGGAGGTTCCCATTTTCTCTGTGCTCTGGGACAGTGTGTAAAAGAAGGGAATGATCAGTTCCTTGGAGGTCTGGCAGAACTTGTACATAGAATTGCTGGGGCCCGTGCCTTTTGTGAGAGAACTGTGCTCCATAGGGTTTTTATGGCTGCAACCTTTCAGAAGCAGATCACCAGGCCTTTTTTCCAAGCTATCTCTGAGTGGACTCAAACTTCCAACCTTTGCTTTAATAGCTGAGTGTTTGGTTCTAGGAGTCCCTGCGTGGTGCAAACAGTTAATACACTTATCTGCTAACTTAAAGTCTGGCGGTTTGAGTCCACTCAGAGGCACCTCGGAAGAAAGGCCTGACGATCTACTTCTGAAAAATATAGTCACTGAAAACTCTATGGAGCCCAGTTCTACGCTGCACACATGGGGGCGCCATGAGTTGGAATCAACTTGATGGCAACTAATGACAACAAGTTTACTTGTTTTCACATGGACTGCATTCTCCCCTCTTTGAGCGCAGACCATGAAACTGAGAAAAGGAGACCTGTGCCTGACCCCACAGGGGTGGCGGAAGGGTGGGTGCAGGTGCACACAGGGTCCCTTGCCGTGCTCACCCACAGCTCCTCCAGCAGGGCCACGGCCTCTTCTCCGCTTCGGGGTCGCTGGCCGCGCACCCAGGCCTGGACGGCGATGGGCAGGGCGCTCAGGAACTGCTCCAGCACCAGCAGCTCCAGCATCTGCTCCTTGGTGTGCACCTCAGGGCGCAGCCAATCACGGCACAGGGCGCGCAGGAGGCCCAGCGCCTCCCTGGGACCAGGCGCATCGCCCAGGTGGAAGTGGCGGAAGCGGCGCCACGGGGAGTCCAGAGCCAGGCCCTCAGTGGTGACCGGGTCCTCCTGCTTCACGGGCTGGGGTGCCAGGACCTGCTGGGGGGACGGGACTTCCATGGGGGCTGGCGTGTCAGCCAGCAGCACCTGTGGGGGAAAAGGTCAGTGTGGTGAGAGCCAACCATCATTCTAGAAACAACCACTGAGCTCGCTGTGGAGGAGAGAGGGGTGTGGCAGTTAAGGGGACAGGGTCTGATGCCAGACTAAAAAGCTGTTGTGGTCATTTCTGATTTATGGCGGCCCCCTATGTGTCAGAGTAGGACTGTGCTCCATAGGGTTTTCAGTGGCTGATTTTTCTGAAGCAGACTGCCAGGCCTTTCTTCTGAGGCACCTGAGTAGATTAGAACCTCCAACTTTTCAGTTAGCAGGCGAGTGATTAACTGTCTGCACCACCCAGGGGCACAATCATGACAAAAACAAACACCAAACCCGAGGCCATCGAGTCAATTCCAACTCGTGGCGACCTCATGTGTTACAGAGAATTGTGGCCCCTAGGGTTTTCCTGGCTGTAACCTTTAAGAAAAGGAGCCCTCTGGATAATCGAGTTTTGGCGGACCTTTGAGCACACACTGAGCTAGTGCAGAGCCAGACTAAAAGCAGACCATGGTGCTGAAACATGCCCGTGACCCTCCAGTGCAATGTACTGCAGGTCCAGTTGGGGATGATAAGTTTTTCTTTTTCTAGTGTTTCATTGGCAAGCACATTATGGGACCTGATGACAGCCCATATCGAGGCAGTGTATTCTTTTTTCATTTTCCTACAGACTACCCCTTCAAACCACCTAAGGCTGCATTTACAACAAGAATTTATCATCTAAATACTAACAATAATGGCAGCATCTGTCTCAATATTCTAAGACCAGAGTGGTCTCCTGCTTTAACTATTTCTGAAGTTCTTTTATCTATCTGTTCACTGCTATGTGATTCAAACCCAGATGACCCCCTAGTGCCAGAGATTGCAGGGATCTATAAAACAAAGATAAGTACAACAGAATATCTTGGGAATGGACTCAGAAGTATGCCATGTGATGCTACCTTAAAGTCAGAATAACCTGCATTATAGCTGGAATAAACTTTACATTACTGTTCCTTTTTTGATCTTCTTATCCAGCTGCTCCCCTATCAGACTTCATCTTTTTTAATTTTATTTTTGTTTACCTCCCTCCATTTATTCACATGCTCATCTGAGAAAACTGAAGTTCTTCCAGCTTTGGACAATAACTGCTTTTAGAAACTATAATGGAGTTACAAGAGAACAGTTCTCCAAGATTCAGAGTTTTTTTTAAAAAATGGAGCATGCGTATTATGTGGCCAACATTTTCACTCTAACTGGGTTATGAGACTAAAACCATTCGTCACTGCTCTAACACGCTGCAGAAATCATCTGAGGGGGAAGAAGATGGATGCTCAGTTGTCACATCAAGGGAAGCAGCATTACTCTAGCAGAATCCACTCTTGTTTAGGTCTTCCACCTTTAGAGGTCTGAGGTTGCATAATATACTTTACCCTCATAACTGGTCTGGCTGGAGAACTTGTATTGAATTTATAGCAACAGCAGAACAGAAAATGTGATGTATTTTATACATGTCAATAAAGGAAGGATCTGTTTTTGTTCTACAGAGAACGGAAATTGAGTCTTAATCATTTAGTAATTTTCAGGAGGCTTGGAACTATTAGTCAATCTATCTTTCAATACACTGTTTAATATGGCACTGAACAAATGATGCAAGTTATCAATGGATGAGTGATCAACTAGTAGTTCTGCTAGTAACTGATTTATCTTTCTTCAATAAAGTTGTGTAAACCCAGAAAATAAATAAAAGGAACCCTGGTGACACAATGGTTGAGCGCTCAGCTGCTAACCAAAAGGTTGGCGATTCGAACCCACCAACCGCTCCAAAGGAGAAAGATGTTGGCTTCCATTAAGATTACAACCTTGGAAATCCTATGGGGCAGTTTTACTCTGCCCTACAGATGTGCTATGAGTCGGAACTGAGTTGACAGCAACAGGTAGTCTTTAAGAAAGCAGACCACCAGGCCTTTCTTCGGCAGTACCACTGGGTGGGTTTGAACCAACAACCTTTCAGTTAGTAGAGTGGAAACCAACTGTACCACCCAGGGACCTGAACATACTGGTGATAAATAAGATCACTCCACTGTCCAAACCAACCTCTATCATCTAGTGAGTGCCCAGGCCTCCTTGGGACAGCTACAGTGACCTGTGCTACCTCCATTAAAGCGGCTGTAACCCTGTGTTCTCATCGTCTGTGTCCCAGTAGCACTTGTCCAGCCCAGAGCCAGGCACCTGGAGGCCTCAGGAGATGGACACTTATCTGTATCTGTTATGGGTTGAACTATGTCCCCCAAAATATGTGTCGTAAACCCTGACCCTATACCTGTGGTTATAATCCCATTGGGAATGGGTTTGCTTTGTTGTATTAATGAGGCAGTATTAGTGTAAGGTGTGTTGTAAATCAATCTCTTTTGAGATATAAAAAAGCAGATTAAGCACAAGCAACCAGCAAGCAAAGACAGGGGAAGATAGATGCCAAGCCATGTGAAGATCACTGAGGAAAAGAAGCTCAAAGGACAAGGACCTTCCTCTGGAGCCAACAGAGAAAGCCTTCCCCCAGAGCCAGCGCCCTGAATTTGGACTTCTAGCCTCCTAAAATGTGAGAAAATAAATTTCTGTTTGTTAAAGCCACCCGTTTGTATTTCTGTGATAGCAGCACTAGATAACTAAGAAAACATCTCTTACACTGCCCTGCCCTGCCCTGCCCAACTCCCGCTACTGCCCTGTGAGCTGGGGAGCTGAGTTCCACCATGCAGAGGGAGAAAGAGACATTCAGAGATTGACAGGGTCAGGATTTGAACCCAGAACTGCCTCCAGAGCCCATGCTGGTTCTACCCTAGAACTATTTATCCAGCACCTACACAGTGGCGTCACTAGGGGGGTGCAGGGGTGCAGACTGCACAGGGTGACACTGTCAGAGGAGGTGACACCAAAATGACTGCCAATAAAATTTCTGTGCACTGTTTCAGCAGAAATTTATTATTTTGTATAAAAATATCCCTGTAGTTAGTTAAGGAGCCCTGGTGGCTTAGTGGTGAAGAGCTTGGTTGCTAACCAAAAGGTTGGCAGTTCAAATCCACCAGCTGCTCCTTGGAAACCCTATGGGGCAGTTCTACTCAGAAGCAACTCAGTGGCACCTAACAACAACAGTTATCACAACAAAAACACTTTTTGTAAGCCCACCTTACATGTATCAATACACTTACAAGGTTAAAGCTCTGCTAACTTACTTTTAAAAGTTCTAATGCACTCTGGTCAGAGCTGTCATTATTACCCAATCATAATGATGCTTCAAATCACGTGGTTTCGTCTGCACAGCTACAAGCACTAGCTGTTGTTTTTATTGCTGCCGGTGTTTTTACAGTCACTGATTTTGTCAAATTTTCTGGTGTTTTAGCTATACTATTGTGGTAATTAGTATTTGTGAATCTGTATCAATTAACCTTTTTGAGAATGAGGTAGTAATTAAAGGAAAAGATGGAGCGATACACAAGAATTACGATTTATGCATAATATTAGTACAAAAAATATTAATAAAGATTCTGTACCGTCTGGAACTAGAGGAGGTTCATGGCGGGACAGGGGTGTGACACTAACCCTAGGGACACCAATGCACCTACACGTGCTGGAAGGAGCCCTGGAGGTGCAACAGTTAGCACACAACCCACCAGCTGCTCAGCGGGAGAAAAAAGTGGCAGTCTACTCCTGTAAAGATTAGAGCCTAGGAAACCCTCTGTCACATGGGATCACTGTGAGTTGAAATCAAGTTGAAGACACCTAACAACAACACATGCTAAATTAATAATAATGGTTAAGAGACAGCCTCTGGGGCCTGGCTGCATGGCTATGACTTTCAGCTCTGCCACTTATCAGCTGTGTGACCTTGGAAACGTGAATCGCCCACGCTGAGCTTCATTTCTCCATCCCTGGGTAGCATAAACGGTTAAGTGTTCAGCTGCTAACTGAAGGGTTTGGTGGTTCAAGTGTACCCAGGGGTACTACAAAAGAAGGCCTGGCAATCTACTTCTAAAAAATCAGCCATTGAAAACCCTATGGAGCACAGTTCTACTCTGACACACATGGAAGTGCCACAAGTTGGAGTTGACTCAATGATAACTTTTATTTTTTAAAATACCTGCTGCTGTAGAGTGGATTCTGACCCATAGTGACCCTATAGGACAGAGTAGAAAACTACCACATGGATTTTCAAGGCTGTAATCTTTACAGAAGCAGACTGCCACATCTTTCCCCTGCAGAGCGGCTGGTGGATTCAAACAGCTGACCTTTCTTTCAGCAGCCAAGCACTTAACCAGTGAGCCACCAGGGCTCCCAAGGAATAATAATAGTTCCTTCCCCCCAGCGGTTACTGTGATGAATTAGACAAGGGTCTGGCACAGTGAAGTGCTCAGTGAAGGTCTGTTTGTCTACTCCTGGGTTTCCCAACCTCAGCACACACATTTGGGGCTGGACAATTCTGCGCTGTGTCCCATGCAATGTCAAATGTTCAGCAGCAGCCTGGCCTCTACCCACCACACGCCAGTTGTGACAACCAAAAATGTATCCACACATTACCACATGTCCCCTTGGAGCGGGGGGTAGGTAAAACTGCCCCGAGTTCACTTAACAAATATTTACTCAGAGCACAAGGGCTCTGGAGCAAATACTGCCTCTGCCACTTCCCAGCTAGGTGTCCTTGGCCAAGGTACAACTGCACCTTTTACACACAGTATCTCCATTTCCTTGGCTTTAAAATGTGCACAGTTAAGTGCAAGACCACCTCCTGAAAGGTTGGTGGGTTCAGACCTACCCAGAGGCACCTTGGAAGAAAGGCCTGGCGATGTGCTTCTGAAAGGTCACAGCCATTGAAAACTGTATGGAGCACAGTACTACTCTGCACACATTGGCATCGCCATGAGTCGCAATCAACTCCACAGCCAACTAAAAACAACAATAATAACCAACCCAAGAGTGGCAGTGAGAATTACAAG